CTTTGCATCTCACTCACCATGAAGCATCTGGGCAGCGCAAGCTTTGTTGCCCAGTTTGGAATCCTGGGGACGGGCAGAGAGTTCTCATGAGGGTGTGCAGTTTGGTTTGGAAAACTTCAGTGTAGTTTATAGCCAGGCCAGACCTTGTTTTCAAATTCTGCTCAGCGCCTCTAACATTTTGATAACTTTATTTTATCTTATTGTTTTCAAATTTTAATATTAATTTAAAATTGTCATTTCCATCACACAGGAAGGTATAAGAAATAGTCTACCACAAACCTAAATACCTACTACACACAAATTTAGCAAAACAGTTGTCATTTTTGTTTCTGACCTGGTGTGCATTCTTCTTGTCCACCTTTTCATACTTTGCACCTTAGACATGTATCCTTCAAGCTCACAGGATTGCTTGGTCTGCTTAAAATACACAATATTAAATACACAAATATTATCCCTATTGCTTTACAACTTTTTTTTTACGCTGTTTATGTCAAGACCATTCATTCATTTTTAACTGCTGTGTAGTATTCCAGTGTATAAATATACTTAGTTTCACATAACCATGCTCCTTTTGATGAATTAATGCCTTTTTTCCACATTATAACTTCTCTATTATAATGAGCCTATTGGGACCTGCTTGCCTATATACACATGGGAGAATTTGTTAGCTATTGGCTAGTAGAAATGCATATTGTCAATGTAAGATTTTGCCAACTGAGTTGTTTAATTTTTTTGAAACAATCATAAATTTTACAGAAATATTTCAAGCACAGTATAAATTTACTTTTGCTGCACTATTTGAAAGTTGCCATTTGATTTTCCATCACCTTGAATAATGCTTTCTCTTGTACTTCTTACGAATAAGAATGTTCACCTACATCATGTATACACACACACACACACACACACACACACACACACACACACACAAAATAACCATCATCAGTAACATTGATACATGACTGTCATCTAGTCCTCAGACCCCTTCAAGATTCATCAACTGTCCCCATGTGACCATTATAGCAAAACAACACAGTATGGGAATGCAAAACATACAGCCACTTTGGAACACAGTTTAGCGATTTCCCACACAGCTGGCAATCATGCACCTTGATATTTACCCAAATGAAATGAAAACTGATCTCCACACAAAATTCTGTACATGTATAGCAACTTTATTCATAATTGCCAAAACTTGGGTGCAACCAAGATGTCCTTCAGTAGATGAATGGATAAATAAACTGTGGTACAACATCGAGACAATGGAGTATTACTCAGTGATAAAAAGAAATGAGTGGTGAAGACATGAAAAGACACTGAGGAGTCTTAAACGCATATCGCTAAGTGATTGACGCCAATCTGAAAGGGCTGTGTATTATGTAATACTTTACCCCCCGCAACATTTGTGAGCACCCAGTTCTTTCCATTTCAAAACATATTTTCTATTGTTTCCTAGGAAAGAAAAATTGTATTTCATATAGACAGCTAAATTTTGTGATTTTGAAGTCTAATTTAAAAATGTCACCTAAATTACCCGAGCATATTTTTAGATTATTAATGTTCGCAAAACCTTACTGAACCCTTTGTAATTAATTTTAATATATTTCTACATACTTATGGTCATAAATCCTTTCTACATTTATAAGACAAGTAGTCCAAAAATATTGTGATGATTCTAATCACATACCTACTCATTAAAAGTATTCCTCAAATATGTTTATGATTAATGTTCTTCTTTTAATGTAGTCTGCATGTGATGACACACATTTTAAAATAGCCAAGTTGAAATAAAGTATATGAACTCTACATATATTTTGTTTGTAGAAATGGAAGGCTTATATTTAAATTACTTAAAGTGTATGTTCAGCACTGTGAGAATTTCAGCTTTCCTGTGTTTTTGTCTACTTGAGAAGTAATTTAATTCTTACAATTTTGGTGATATGGACTGCTTGCCTACAATTATTTTTATCTCCTTGATTCAGATTACAGATTCTGCTCACCTTCCAGTTCACACCCCAACAATAAAGAGAAGAGACTGTCACAATAGAACCCTCTTTCCAACAAAGGTACTTGATTAAGTTCCAAACTTAGCAGGTCCTTGAAAACCGAGAATAGGTTCGTTTTCACCTTCAACCCACCCCTCCCTCCCTTCTTCCCTCCTTTCCTTCCTTCCTTCCTTGCTTGTCTCTTGGAGACTTCTGGTTAAACATAGCAGACTCAAAAAATGCATACTTTCTAATGAAATCCTCTAAACCGATAAAAAGAAAAGTAAGTCCACATAATTTTGGAAGGTGGAAGAGGCTGAGTGAGGGGTTAGGAGGGCTGGGGAATCTGGATGTCAAGTGCTTAGAGAGGGCTTGCCAAAAAGCCACAAAACACTTAGCATCTCAGAAGCCTACAAGGATTCGAGGTCTAGCAACACCAAGTCCTTCCGGAGGCAGGGGTGATGTGCAGTGCGGAAAACAGGGGAGTAAAACGCACAGCACCCACAGCAGGGACTGCAGTCTGTCCGTTTTACAGATGAGGAAACAGAGACACGAAGAAGGGGAGAAAATTTACCAACTTTTATTTGGAAGAACCAGATTTTGTTACAGTTTACATATCGCTCATTTATGACGACAGTAATTTCAGGTCAGAGGGGCGTGGTACAGAAATAGAAAACCCGTAGTGGATTGCCCACTTGTTGACAATTCTGGGAAGACATCTGGAGTTTTAGCTGTCAGGGTTCCAGTTAGAAATTTCAGGGTGCCTTCTGTCTCGAAGGTACAATGCAGCCTGCTTCACAGGAGTGTTCCAGTCCCTGGGGAACAGGATTTTTTTTATTGATAGTAGGAAGTGAAACACATCATGTGCTCTAGAAAGCACATTTTGAAATTATTCTTTCTTTCTAAAGAAGGGATAGAAACTGTATTATTTTTGTTACCCCTCTTCAATAAAAATATGTAACACAGGCAATTCTGACTCCATTCGTTGTTAAGAAATCACTTGAAGAATTTATCAATCTACAATATTTTAATGTCAGGGTATATCAGCCCATATAAAGCCCAGGCTTTATTTATTTGGTTCCAAATAGTATTAATGAACATTTGATCACCTCCAAGTAATTCTCCTCCTTCTCCTCCCCTTTCTCTTCTTGGTAATTTTGGGATCACTTAATCAGTATTTTCCAGTTAGGAAGTGATTAGAGGCAAGCACTCTAAGTGCTGGTGAGAAAGGAGGGAGCTGCTTTTCTTGTATATAAAGTGGTATTTTGGGCAGGGTGGGTTGAAGGAATCACCAGAATCACCTTTCCAATGGTATTTATTGGTTTGCTTTTTGAAGTACAGTCGGTTACAATGTGTCCGTTTCTGGTGCACAGCACAGTGTCCCAGCCATGCATGCATAGACATATATTTGCTTTCATATTCTTTTTCGTTAAAGGTTATCACAAGATTTTGAATGTAGTTCCCTGTGCTATAGAGAAGGATTTTTTTAAACCTATTTTTATATTCAGTGGCTAACATTTGCAAATCTCAAACTCCCCCGTTTCTCCTCTCTCATCCCCTTTCCCGCAGTTATCATAGAATCGTTTACTGCATGTATGAGTGTTATTTACCATCAACACATGTTTGGTCTCTTTGTTTTGTAGAATAAGACCCACCGGTTTTTCCTCACATCCTTTACGGCCCCTACCAAGTGCCACCAGTGCACGTCTCTGATGGTGGGTTTGGTAAGACAGGGCTGCTCCTGTGACGGTAAGACCCGAGGAGGGCCTGTGTGCGCTTGGAGCCGTGGCACCGGCACCTAAGTGTTCTCACTCAGCTTGGTGCTTTAGGCAGCTGCTATAAACCAGGCACGTAGGCTGGGTGGCTTCTAGACACAGACCTACGTTCCTCACGGGCTGGGGGTCTGAGATCTGGGCGCCCGTCCGGCTGGGTTCTGGAGCCCCCCCTTCAGGTCGCACCTGGCGGAAGGGGGAGGGGCAGGGAGCTCCAAGGGGTCTCTTTTCTAAGGGTGCTAATCCCAGTCACGAGGGCTCCACCCTCAGGACCTAATCCCCTCCCAGGGGCCTCACCTTCTCGTACCATCACATGGTGGGGCGGGGCGGGGCGCTGGAGTTAGGGTTGCAAAATACCAGTTTTGAGGGAATCCAAACATCCAGCCCATTGCACTAAATGACTAAGCAGAAATTGCACTTCTGTGAACTATAGAAGCATCACGGTGTCCTGATCACGTCACTAAAAAGTCTCTCTGAATGTGTTTCACATCAGAAAGACTGGACCTGTAGTTGTGGGTAGCCTTTGGGGGATCTCTGCACTGGGCAACTCCAGAGGGCCTCATGCCCTCGCAGCCTGTGTGAGCAGCGCCCCCGGGAGGTGTGCTGTGTAGCCTGCAGGTAGGGCCCCACTCCCTGGGAAAATGTATTTAGATACATTTTGTTCTCTGTGGCACTGGGAGAGTTTGAGGACCACATCCACTGGCCCATGTGACAGGAAAATGGAATGCTGTCCTTTGTCATCCTTTTACTTGACTCATTTAATTTACTACGGTGAATATTGCTGAAGGAAAGCACTATATTTTTGCAAATGTCAAACAGTGGATCCCTGTGCCGCACAGACACCTCGTTCCTCACCCGAGGGAGCCGATTCTGCACGTGTTGGTTTCCTCAACGAGTCCTGTCAAGTGCTCACTCTGGGACGTACAGCGCCGAGCAGGACAACTGTCCTGCACTCAGCACTGTGACAGTCAGAGGCGCCTTGACTGTGAACACATCCTAAAACATTGAACAAAATGGGATCTAAAATGAGGAGTCATGCGCTCATGCACTCCTCCGAGGGCAGCGGAGCCAGGCTCTGAGCTGAACTCATGGGAGCATCTCTCAGCCTCTGCTGAGCCTGGGACGGCTGCTGCCCCTGCTGGTGCATAAAGATGCCCACGGCCACCACCGCTGCAGCCCCCAGAACCTGCAACTTCTGCCAGGGCCAGGAAGGACCCTGCTGCTGCAGAACTGAGAAAGCGCCCATCAAATCTGGAAGCCACCACTGCAGCCGGGACTTCACGCTCCCTCTGTCAAGACCCAGCCAGTAAGATGGCTGTGGTGCCTCCTGCACCTCCCGGCATGACCCAGCTCAGCGTCTCATAGAAAGCCGTCTTCTGAGTGGAGCTTCTAAGGTCCAAAACTTAGTTCCAAGGGAGTCCAGGAAATGTAGATGTTAGCATTTTGGCCTCTACAAGAGTAGACGGAATGGCAGTGGGAGTCGAGGGACTCAGACCATTGTATCCTCACGGTTTTCTCTCTTTCATTTCCTCCATAAAGTATGTGGGTTTTCATGTCACACAACCTGTGTGGAAAAAGCTCCAAGAGCTTGTCCAGTGCCTTTGCATCAGAAGAGAGGCACCTTCTGTCTAGACCCACAGAAAGGCATGGGAACAGCCTATGAAGGCCACGTCTGGGTAAGTGCCAATGTTTTGGGCTCAGATGAATCTTTTCAAAATGTGTGCACAACATTTGTCAGAAAGATTTATGCTATGTTGTACAGTAATAATTATATACAATTGAAAATATTTCTTCCATCCTAAGAAGATGATTTCAGAGCAAAGTTTAGCTGTCCCCAAGAGGATATTTCCACACGTCCCAAAGTTTTCTGTTTAGACCCCACCTTGCGATGAACAATGGCTGAAATCCCTGTTAGTGATGTACCTTTGACTTCCAGCCAGCAGTCATAAATTATGAGACTGGGGTGAAAGAATCTTATTGAGAAATACTCAAAATCTGAGTTGAATCTGAGGCTACCAAATTTGAGTTTAATGTTATGTCGCGGCAACGCTGTGACTGTGAATGAACTGCTAGTGTTCAGTGAAATGGTATTAATCTTCTTTTCACAACACAAGAATCATCCAGTCCTCAAAGGGATTGCCTTTGTTTTAAAAATTTCATTCATGCAATCTAGTTCTGTTCCTACCTTTAACAAGGAAAAGTGGCAGATTTATAACATAGTATAATTATTTGAGTTTTATATGTAATCATTACATAGTATTTGATGTTTCGACTTGGATTGTCTTTGTTTGTTTTTTTGCAAACTAAAAACTAAAGATCCCAAAGAAAGCAGGAATGAAAAAAGGATGGCAGAGGGTACTGGCTATAGTTTGTGACTTCAAACTCTTCCTGTATCATGTGGATGAAGAAAAAGACTCAAAACCCAATGTTGTAGCAAGTCATGTGATTGACTTAAGGTAAGCTTTGAAAGGGAGAATATTATTTTATCCAAAAAAAATTGGGAATAAAAAAGCTGTCTGGTATTTTCTTTAAATAGCGTTGTCATTTAACTTTATGTTAAGTTCATAATTTTCTGCACTGCCAAGCCCCTGTAGATATCTCAGTTTCTATCTTTTCCTTCTGACATTTTTGGTTGATCTATTTTTGCCAACTGTTAAACACCTCTTCGGCAGCTGTGCAGTTAAAATGCTTGTACTTAATTGTTTTGTGTAAGTGCTCCTTAAGTGAATTTCCGGGAAGTGAATTTTCACTGGGAGTGCCCTAGCTCTGCACAGATCTACAGAGGATCTGGCTCAAGGATTCAGCGGATCACTGATCAGCACATGCATGTGAGGAAGACTACGAAATGTGAGCAAAAAGAACCCAATATTATGTAAAAATTATACGGCATCCGGAGCCAGTGTGGTGTGTGTTGGGAAGGCTGGTTTAACGTTCAAAAGTCAATGTATTTTACCATATCAATAAATGAAAAAGATCCTGTCAGTAGATACAGTAAACACATTTGGCAAAATCAGGTATTTATTCTTGATACACACTTAGAAGAAAGCGTCCTCATCCTGATGAAGGGCGTCTGTGAAAACCCCACAGCAAACCTCATAATTAGTGGCAAAAGACTCAGTGCTTTCTCACTAAGATCAGGAACAAGACAATGATGTTTGGTCTCACCACGCTTATTCAACATTGTACTGGAGATCCAGGACAGGGAAGAGAAAGAAATAAAATACATCCTGGTTGTAAAGAAGGAAGCAAAATTATTCATAGACAGAATGAACATCTGTGTAGAAGTATCTGTGCAATCTACAGAAAAAGCTGTCAGAACGAATAAATGAATTCAGTAAATTTGCAAGATACTTGATCAACAGATACGAAAGGCTAAAATTAAAAAGACTGTTTCAAATGTTGGCAGCAGATGGAGGACCTGGATCTCTCAAACATTGCTTTGTAAGTCATTTAACCACTTTGGATGAAAGCTTGGCGGTTTCCTAAAAAGTTAACCACACACCTAATGTATGATCTAGTCATTCTAGTCCTAGTATTTCCCCCAAAGAAAGCGTATGTCCATACAGACGTGCATGAACATTCATAGCAGAGCCCCAAACTTGAAACAACCCCAATGTCCATTCGGGCAAATGGATACATTGTGGC